ACCGGGTTCACTGCATTGTCTCAATTGGCTTTGTTCTGTCTTGTGCTGTTGCATTTTTATTACTTTCAAAATAAAATAAAAAAAAGACCTAGACAGTTTGGAAAATACAGGAACTTATGTTGGACCTAATTTTTTATGCTACATCTCTCAAACCACAGCCTCTTTCTGGGACTCCAGTGACCCTAGCAGTATTCATAGACTTTTGGAAAATGGTCCAATAGGCTGTGTCTTTACCAAGTGTTTAGTTTTACCATCTTCTAGAAAGTCCATCAGTTGACCCTCTACTCTCATTGTGACCATGGGCTTCTGGGTATCTAAGAGGATGGAGCCCAGTCTGTCCTAGTTCTGTTAACCTTTAGTTTCTATCAGTAAAATGGGCCTGCATCTGGATTTTTTTCTCAGGAGCAACAGGCTTTTGCAGACATCCTCCTAATTTTGGAATTTTTATCGTCTCTGTCATCATTTGGGGCATTTATTTTCCCAGTGTCCATATTTTTACATTGTGCACAATGAGCTCAATCTAGCTTTGTTCCACTGGCAGATCCCCACTTGGCTTGACTCCTGTTTTGTCAGTGTCCTCACGTTTTCCCCTTAGTGAATCTTGTTCTTTTCTCTCTGAGTGCTACTATCAACAGATCATTTTTGTTGTTTATTGTTGTTTCTGGGTTTTTCCTTTTTCCTTTCTGAGCCTTTTGTCAGTTTTTTTGGGGGGAGGGGAGTCTCCTGGTCACAATTTGCGTACACTTTGGTAGTCACCTCTGACAGCTGGGTCACATTTATGCCAACAAAACCCTCCAGTTTTTATCAATAAGCAGCTACACAGGGCTAAAACCATATGGGTCTAGCCTGAACTGTATTTAGCCATTAACCAATGTAGGGGCACTGGTCCTGATTTCCTCTGTTCTCAGTCTCTATCCTACTTACACACATTTTGTTTGTCAGTTGTACCCGTGTCCCTGGGTCCATTTTTCATCAGAGGAGGGTCAATCTACTTCATAAAGAATCCTTAACCTCGGGGGGGCAGGGGCTGGTCAGCTTTATTTCATAGATTCCTGTATAGTCTCTTTTAAAGTTAGTCAACACACATTTTGATGTTTTCCCTCCCATATCTACTCTGTTGTAATGTAAATCACTTTCTTAAGCATTTTTATTTTATGTGATTTAATCATTTTTCTTTGTGTGAGTTTTTAGAAGGAAAAACTTGAGCTCCACCAAATTAACAATCACAGATTGTTTTTTAAATAAACTACTAACACAAAGTTTCCTCAAGGTACATAAGTTTTCCAGTCTTGTATCTCTTTTTATCTAGCAGGACAAAACTTTTATCATATAGAATCTTCTCATATCAAAAGTGTATCTCTTGTATTTGTGGTCTTCATAGTATTTTTCTCTCTCACTTTTACAACAAATTTAACTGCAGCTGTTTGGATTTTTTTTGTTGTTGTCTTTTTCTTTTTTTATCAGTGCTGGGGATCAAACTCACAACTATCTGCTTATAAGGCGCTTATGCCACTGAGCTAAACCTCCAGCCCCCAGCTGTTTGGATTTTAAAGTGTCCTTTTTTTCTTCTCAGATGGTTACTTTGTAAATTTGACCAACTGCCTGTAGACCTTTGAGTAACCTTGAATCAGAGTTAGCTTAAAGCAACAGAGAGCAAAGAGCAAGCTAACCCTGTAATTGCAATTTAAGAATTTGTGATACACAAGAAATGTTTTACAGTTTAAACAAAAGTATTAATTTAAATTGCAAATCAAAAGTACACTTGCCAATTAGCTAAAATTTGTTATTTGATTCTTCCTGTAAATTCTCCTTAGACTGGAGAAGACTTTGGTCATTCAGTGCCAGGTAGGGGCTGCTCTGGCTCTCAGAGACCTGCAGACAGTGCCAGGCTGGTGAAGCTGAGCAGCAGCAGACCTCGGGGCTCCCAAAGTCAGGAGGAGACCCCGGGCTCCGTCTTGCTCCGTGCTCACTGTCAAATGAAAAGACAACCCTGTATCACTCTTCAATCTCAGCAGGTACAGCTGGACCTACATCTCTTGTTTTGTGCCTCCATCCCAGCCGGCTGCCTCAGGCATTTTCTTAGTCGTGGTCCCCATCTGAGCTGCTTGCTGTCATCACCCTGTTTCATGGGGTGCTCCTCTTTTTGCTTCTATCAGCCTGCCTGCAGCGTTCCATCTGTCCATCCTCAAGCACTAAAGTTAAGCAATGTTTCCATGTCTTTACCTATTAAGGTGCAAATCATTTTCTCATTAACTTTCATTTTCAAGCCAATTAGACTGCTTTCCTCTCCTGGTCCCAGATGAGGCCAGGAAACCTCAGACTCACACATTGTGTTGCACACACACACACACACACCCCTTTCCTTTCTCACTTGTTTTCAGCTTGGTGTCAGATATTCTAGTCCCTCCCATTGTGCGCTGTTCTGATACTTATGGTTCCTCAATTCCTTTCAATCTAATTTAACACACTTCCTACCACTCTAACACTCTAAAACTATTTTATAACACATACACAGTTGACCTCATTTTACATTATCAACTTATCTTTTTGCTGGTTCTCTGTATCGATGATCTTTCTGTAATTTTTTTTACCTCGTTGGAAAATATTGTTGTTGTTGTGTTTTTTGGTTTTTGACATTATAAACTCTATGATCCTTTGGTTCTGTGGTCTAGGTTTTCAACTAATTTCTCTAACTTAGCCATTTCTGGTATCTTTTCATGGCCCTTATTTTCAGATCTCCAAAGTATGTACCCCAAGGCATTATCCATTGCTGGGTTTTCTCCAAATTAGCTTCTCTGAGAAGTTATTATCTTTTCATTCACCCATGAATCATCTCACTATAAATAACTTTAACTCAACTCAGATGTCTTAAGTTCTTTCACTCATTCATCCACCCATAAAGTGTTTCTGAAAGTTCACAATGTATCAGGTACTAAATAAACAAGCGGAGCTCTGTCTTAAAAGAATATAACTCATAACCCTTGTAATTAGTGTCTACCTTTCCCTAACTAGATACCATTAAGTCATCTTTGATAACCTCTTTCTTCAATACCTATATTGTTTCAATAGCTTAACCTTTTAAAGTGACCGTTGAGTCACAACTGTTTTTTGAGCATCAACATAATTCAATTTGCTTTGTCCCTTACACCTGCATATACTTTATATCCTTTGAGGTCCTATACCTTAGCTTCCTAATTAGTCTTCAGACTTTTTTCTTTAGCCTATGTAATATTTGATTACATGGTTTCCTGGGCTCATCTGGGACCAGGAGAGGAAAACAGTTTAATTGGCCTGAAAATGAAAGTAAATGAGAAAATGATTTGCATCATAATGGGTAAAGACCACTTTAATACTCATAAATTCTATAAGCCCAAACATTTTCAGTTGTTATTTGAGATCTATACTATTTAGATCCATCATCTCCCACAGTATGCATATAATAGACTTGTGGTGAAATCACAGGAGTAGCATGTCTAAAACACTCTTAGGTGCCTAATGGATAAACACTAACTTAATCTAAACATTGCTTTTAAGTACAATGCCTAGCAAATTTTCAGTAGTTGATAATTTTAATCATTGTTTTAACAAATATATGGTTTATGGCTATAGCTAGTTTTGGGGAACCTATGATTATGTAGATAATGCAAATCATCTCTCCAGTTGTCCAGCTGAGAGTGCCTTGTTGATAACCTGGGCTGATAATTTCCTCTTTTTGAGAGGAAAACTTTTGGTTTATAACTCAATGTACGCATGCTGCCATAACAAACTCCCATAAACTGTGTGGCTACAAAAATTTATTTCTGATAGTCTGGAGGTTACTTGGCCGGAGACCAAGTGCTGGCCTGTTCAAGGTTCCTAGTGAGGGCTCTCTTCCAGCCTGCTGACATGTGCTTCTTTCTGTGTCCTCACATGGCCTTTTCCTGGTGCATGCAGAGCTGGGGAGAGATGTCTTTGGGTTCTCAGGAAGCCACTAATCCCATCATGAGTGTCCTTGATTTGTGGCCTAATCTAACCCAAATTATCTCCCAAAGGGTTCCCAATACTGTAATATTGGGAGTTACACCTTCAACGTATGTATTTTGATGGACCATAAACAGTCCAAAGAAGTTTAACTTTATGCCAGAAAGTTTCCACAACAGTGACAATTTTTAATATGTGGTGTTACAGAACAAATGTTCGTAAATGCAACTTCATTTTATACCATGTTCATTTGTTGTGTCTAAATCCATTTAAAATTAGATTTTATTCTAATAAGGGCTAGGGAAATTCAAAGAATCTCGTGGTTTCTTTTACAAAACATTGTTTTGTAATCCGAATCATTTTACTTCTTATGTGTTGTAAATTTAGATATTGTACACTTAATTTTTCTCAGCTGTATAGATGGACTTGCTACTATGCTTTCGATGAAAAGTGCTTCATTTTATTGCACTAAGCCTTCTGCAGTAATCCTTCAGCAGGCCAAAATGTAGGTGTGAAGTCAGAAAACACATTTTAAACCTTGCTAATTGGCTCAGGAAAACAAATTTGAAAAATCAAATACCATTTTCAGATTTTATTTAAATAGTTGTCTCACAAATATATGCACATTTCATCTACTTGATGTTCCTGTTGGCAGTGACAACAGAAAGTGAGACGGACACAAGCAATGAGAAATAACTATTCACATCAGTTGCCAGGATCCGACGCCGGCTGAGGCTCTGTGCACTCCACCCTGCGGCTGCTCCAAAGCGGGAACTGTGCACAGGCTCTCAGAGGTCACCACCATGATGGGCAGCAATCATGGCCTTCAAAGGGCCAGGAGACATCAGTCGCTCTCCAATTCTGTCTTAAAATTTACCGGGCTGCGTGTATAACTAGGCTAGACTGCAAGAGTAACATATGAAATCTCTCCAGCAGAACACATTACATGGAAAATGCAGGTTTCCACCACGAGGAAGAAAGCGAACCATCAGCCAATCGGCGCCAGAGTCTCAGCAGCCAATCAGAGCTCGCCTTACAGTGCAGCGCTGGGAAAGTGCTGCTGGGCTCTGGTCCAGCCAGGTGGCCCCGTCTGTCACTTGCAAGGCCGAGCACCCGAGAGGCTGCATTGGTTACCGGAACCACCTCTCTGCTCTCTGAGTTTGCTCGTATTTGTTCCCAGCCACTGCTCATGTAATGCACTCCCTGAACCAGGAAATCAAAGCGTTCTCCCGGAGTAACCTCAGGAAGCAATGCACCAGGGTGACCACGCTGACTGGAAAACGCATCATAGAGACGTGGAAAGAGGCCCGCATTCATGTGGTGGAGGAAGTAGAGCCGAGCGGCGGGGCTGGCTGTGGTTACGTGCAGGACCTTAGCTCGGACCTGCAGGTTGGCGTGGTGAAGCCCTGGTTGCTCCTGGGTGAGTACCCGACCTGCCGGCTCACCCCATCCGACGAGCTGCCTTCCTCTGCAGACAGGACTTTCCCTGGCAGAGAGCCACACGCGTGCTCCACCCCTGCCCATCCGTCAGCAGCGTGGAGTCTAGTGGCCCTTAGGATTTTAGAAAAAAAAAAAACAACTTGTTTTCCTCTTCTAACTTCTATGGAGGATGTTATGTCTCTCTGGCTGTTATGTTTTTTTTTTTTTTTTTTTTTTTTTTTTGCATGATAAAGGGCCATCGATTTTTTTTTAATAATCAAGAATCAGTAGCTTTTATCAGGCAACACAACAAATGACAAGAGTAAAGCTGTAGAAAAGCTGATGTTTGCAGCTATATGCTGGTTCCCCCCGCTCAGTTGTGGGGAACTGTATATAGAATACAGTAAAGGCCTGCTGTGGCCAGATCTGCGCTTCGAGGCTGTTTTTGGAGTGTTTTGGAGGAAGACTTTTTTTACAGCTGAGTCGGATGGTTTTATGATTTCCTGTTGTGTGAAATACTGAATCCCTGTACAAGCACAGCCCACACAAAGCAAAAGAAGCGAAATTGTATAAGTACTACCTTACTAACTTGTCAAGAATAGATTGGGTTTGAATTATTTTTCATTTGTGAGTAGAGAAGTTAAGACCTGAGTAGGTTGTAATGGCTTGCCACTGTATGCATCCTAGGGCCCCTGAGTAGAAAGAACAGTGAACTGGGGTCATAAATGTCCCGGTACTCTCTGAGGAGCTTGCAGCATGTCGGTCCTTTCAAATAAAAACTCTAAACAGGGTTATCAGCTCTGTGCACAAATGGGAATTGGGTAAGTAATTTGCCCAAGGTAACACACTTGGTGAATAATGGAGCCGGGCATCCAGCACGATGGACCGCGGCTGTCTGTTACACCAAACTATTTCAGATTGGACCAAGTTTTCCACTCTATTCTTCTAATGTAGATCAGCCATTTAAAAATCCTGTACCTGTAGGATTGTGGTGACATTGATGTAAAAGGTGTTCGTAGGTGTGTGTGTGACATATTAACCACAGCATATGTATAAACTTTTATTAAGTATTTTTTATTAAATAGTAGGCCAAGCTTGCTGGTGGGCATCTGTAATCCCAGCTACTCAGGCTAAGACAGGAGGGTCACAAATTCGATCGAGGCCAGCCAGGACAATTTAGACTCTGTCTCAAAATAAAAATAAAAAGGTATAGGAATATATCTTAGTGTTCCCTGGATTCAATCCCTAGTACTGAAAAAGAAAAAGCACTGAATAATTGTCTCCAACTTGTTTTTGCAGCCCAAGGAAAAAATCATACCATATTCTCATCGAGTAAAAAATTAAGTATTTTTTAAAATTAATTCAGAAAGTTCATTCACCCAAGGCTTGTTGTGCCTAGGAAAGAAAATATGTCTAGGTACATTTTTCCCCCCAGTTATTTTGCTTCCATTTTAGTTATAATGGTTTAAAGTAATTATGATAAAATTCATGTGTATTATTCATCAATTCACTGTTCATTAACTGTGCTATTTTCTTCTGTGAATTTATCCAAAGTGAACTTATCAAGGTAATGTTCTCAGATTGAAAGAATCTTCAGGGCACTTTCATCTGGCAAAACCTCCCTTTGTTTCTGTCTGGAAAACTGTTTCAAGGTTAATTTTTTTTGGTACCAGGGATCAAACTTACGACCTTGCGCTTGCCAGGCAGACATTCATGCCACTGAGCTAAATCCCTAGCCCTTAAGGTTAATTCTAACAGCACCCTCTCCCGTGCCAGTATCTCTGTCACTTCCCAGTACTACACACCAAACAACTTTTGTTTTTGGTGGTGAAAACAGCTGGGAAATGTATTCTGTCGTTTGCAGTTAGTTTATAATCTCTAGTGAGCTAGGATTGCAAGATCACCCCAGCCTCGGCTACTTAGTGATTTGGTAAGACTGTGTCTCAAATTTTAAAAATGTTAAAAGGGAATGGGGTGGGGAAATAGCTCAGTACAGAGGTCCTGGGTTTAATTCCTAGTACCACTTTAAAAATCTGGGAGTATGAATATAATCACAATACATTATACATGCTGACCTATTTTCCCCCTTGTCATTATAGGCCTTTCAGTTCTTTTATTCTTTTATTTTTTGGTTAACATTCCAAACATGTTGTACTTTTGTAATACCTTTCTCTTGCATGAAAACACATCCATTAAAGATTCTTTCCTGTCACCTTTCCAAGAACAACAACAAAACCATTATACACATTAACCGTCCTCCCAAAACATGTGAAACTAGGGAGGAGAAAGCGGTAGGGATGTGAACAAATCTGCTAAAACAAAACCACTAATCTGTATAATGAATATTCACTAATTTTTAAAAAAGCAGGAAAAAATGAGCAAATAATAGAAAGTGGAAACAAAAAATTCCCCCAAAATTCTAGCATTAAATTATTATTTTGTGTAAGAAATGATTTATTCACTGGAAAAATAAAGTATAGTCACAAAGACAAAAGCCTTGCCCATGGCTTTGAGCCATAAATAGAAATTTCCATTTTTTTCTGGGTTGTTAAAAGGTGAACACAATTTTTACTTTTAAACCTATTCAATTAAGAAGCCTTATTGGATGCAGTGGTGCATGCATATCTGAGACAGGAGGATTACCATGAGTTCGAGGCCAGTATGAGCCACAGAGTCAGTTCAAGGCCAGCCTGAAGTACATAGCAATACCCCATCTTCAAAACAAAACAAAACAGTCTAATCTGAGCTAGGCTTGGTGGCAAAATGACTAATACCAGACACTGAGGAGGCTGAGGCAGAATTGTAAAGCTAGCTGGGCAAATTAGCAAGGCCCTGTGCCAAAATCAAAAACGGTACAGGTGTCTAGTAGTAGAGTTCTCCTGGTTTCAATCCCCTGTGATGTCAAAAAATAAAAACCAATCTAAAATGGTAACATTTTGAACTCTTCAATTCATGGTGAAACAATTGGGATATTTTATAAGGTTTATATATCTGAGCTCTAGGAAACCCAATATTCTTGGGAGGCAAATACTTTAAATTCTTTTTTTTTTTTGGTCTTTTTCCTTTTTATCGGAACCAGGAATCGAACTCACGACTGCCTGCTTGCAAGGTAGGAGTTTATGCCGCTGAGCTAAATCCCCAGCCCCAATACTTTAAACTCTTATAGTTCTTTATTATGTCAGTTTTTCAGGAATGTTATTAATCCTCATAGTAATTAATACTCCTATTTTCATCCATGGATGAATTTTTTATCCATTGATGAATGTTACTTTTCAAATAAAACATTTCTTTAAAAGGCATTTATTGGGGTTGGGGGATTAGCTCAGTGGCACAAACTCCTGTCTGGCAAGCGTGAGGTTGTGAGTTCGATCCCTGATACCAAAAAAAAAAAAAAAAAAAAACCAAAACCAAAAACACCCCATAAACAAAACAAAAGAAGTAATTTATTTTCCTTGGCAGTAATGTTATAACTTTTCTTGATTCCTTTTTATGACTGTGAAAATCGAGATTTTAAAGTTAAATTTACAAGTCACGTCTACATGCTACATCTGAATTTACACATTATTTGGTATTTTCATTAAAGTGATTTCTTTGAAAGTTAGATACTGCTAGGATTATTTCCAAAAGATGAAAAATATTTCCAAAAGATGAGAAGTATAAAATAAAAAGCGGCCTTTATTCTGACAACACGGAGAGAGATGCCCGGCACCACCCCCCCACCCCCCCACTTCCCCCCACCCCCACTGGTGTCGGGGGATCTCTCCTGCCACACGTGGGTGTGGGGGCATGTAAATAGCCTCCGTTTGGGGTGGAACCTAAGGCGGGCATTAGGGATGCACAGGTAGCCCATTTGCCCCAGGTTTGGTGCCATATGTAAATTTCCAGGGATGGGAAGATGGCGTAAGTTCCTAGGGGCGGGGGAGATAGGGCTTCCTGCTTCTGATTGAGGCTTTCCTGGCTACAGTGTCCTGTCTGGGCCAAAACCCTTTCAGATACAAAGTTCTAGAGCTATTACCAAGGCTATGTTTTACAACTCATATGCTATAATAGCAAAACATTAAATGTGTTAGAAGTTCCAGCTCCAGTGGTGTCTTTGTGTATGCATATACTTAAAAGATCAGTTACTACATCTATAAATTTGTATAATGTTTCTTGTCTAAGATAATGAGTATTATAGGGCGTTAATGTTAAATATAACTTTTTATTAATTAGGTCTCTGTTGAGCTATATTCCTATTCAATTCTTTTTAAAAACTTTCATATAGTAAACTTGACTTGGTATAGTTCTATGCATTTTAACACATGCATGTAGTCATGGGACCAGTGTTAAAATCATTAACTTCTTAAAATGGTCTTTTTTTTTTTTTTTTTTGTACTGGGGATCAAACTCACAACCTAGTGCTTGCCAGGCAGGTACTTATGCTACTAAGCTAATTCTCCAACCCTATGAAAGTGGTCTTTGGTTGTTGATCTTACTTAAAATAGCTTACAAAAGGGCAACATTCTGCTTTTCCAAAACAAAGATTTTAAAAAATACATTTCATAATATATAATTATAATTTCTTTATTTTACATTAAAAGATTAGCACAACACTGTCTCAAAAAGCATTCATTTAAAATGGGAGAAAAGACGATGTTTGTCTCTAAAATGTAGAGGGAATTAACTTGAAATGAATATTGCTGAGTATTAGACACAAAGCACAAGCTGATTATCTACAGCACACTTCTGCTAGTGTAAATTTTCTCTCCACACTGTTAACACTCACTGTTTCCAGTTTGAAAAGGCAGAACATACAAATTACATGTTTTGTCTCAAGACTTTAATTTATATCAGCATAATCATGTTTTGTAAATCACTTTCAAAATATGGCAGCCAACTCTGGAACATAACCAAGTCTGTCCTGTTTGATGTGTGCTTGTGTCTAATGGAAATTATCAAAGTGTCCAGCATTGATCAGAGTATTTATAATAACAATGGAGTAGGGTAAAAACCTGGAAGAATTTCATTTAAGTCATATTTCAGTTTTTGCTACTTTAAGAAATGAAAATTACTATTTAAAATAGGCATATTAAATCACCAAATTTAAATTAAGTTCCTTGAGCCAATTTTTCCCCCTTTGAAATAGTTAAGACTTCTCACAGTAGAAAAGTGAGAATTTTTTTAAGGTTGTGAAGTAGTTCAGATTTATAGAAAATTACAGAGAATAATACCATGCAGTTTTAAAAAATGCTAATATTAGGGCTGGGGATTTAGCTCAGCGGCATAAGCGCCTGCCTTGCAAGCAGGCAGTCATGAGTTCGATCCCCGGTACCAATAAAAAGGAAAAAGATGAAAAAAAAAGCTAGTATTTTGATACACCCAAAAATGTTTTTGGTTGTTTTTTTTTAAACAAGGTCTTGCTGTGCAGTTTAGGCTGACCTTGAACTCACTCTGTAGCCCAGGCTGACCTGAACTCATGTTGGTCCTCCTGCCTCAGCCTCCCTAGTGTTGGGATTACAGGTTTGCACCATCTTGCCTGGTTTAGACCAAATTTTAAATAGAGTAAAGCAGAGTGAGTGTGGAATAAGGTGCCTTGAGTAAGGAGCCTGTGAGTTTGGTATTAAGAGAGTAATGATCAAGCCATACTTGCTGCCCCCACAGTACCTAAAATCAGATAATAAACACTGGCTGAATCCCAGGTAAGGAAGGTGAGAGAAGCACTGTGTAAGGAAACAAAAAGTAATTTAGGCAAATAAAAGGCTTGAAATCTTTAAATATGAGTGGCCCATTTTTTTGAAAAGTGAACCATCCTTTATCTGAGTTAGTTCATTCTCCTTGGGGAATCTGCTCATTCACTAGAGTTAATTGCAAAGTGTGGGAGATCCGGGAAGCTGGAAAGAGACTGAACAGGCACAGCCAAGTGGGACCTGGGGCGTGGGTGGATCCTCCAGACCTTCGTTCCCAAACCAGCTGGCGCTGTGATTCTGTGGGGGTTTCATTTTCTTAATACCCTTTTATAATAAAAAGATGTTTATTGCAAGAAATACAAATGAGTATAGAGAACTTAGCTGTAACAGCAGTGTTAACATTTTGTTCTGTGTACTTCCTGTCCACTTTAAACAGGAAATACACGTACTTGATTTTTATAAAAATGTCTGATAGTATTTCATAATGCACTTTTGCTACCTAGTATGTTGAGCAGATGTATCAGTGCCGTAAATATTCTTTACTTCTTATTTCTAATGGTGCTTATGGCTGTATTTCAGCGCATAATCATACCGTCTTTCATTTAACTGAGCCCCTATGTTGGGATTTTAGAGTTTTTTTGTTTGGTTGGGTTTTGTTTGTTTTTACTTGGTATAACAAATAATGCTATGATGAACACCCTTTAAAACAATCATTGAAGTATCTATAAATTTTAGGACAAATTCTTAGAAGTGGAAAGTCAAAGAATATATTCTGTAGAAGGTGAATATTTTATAGTGAATATTACCTAACTTTCCTTCAGAAAATTGAACTGAAGTCTTCCTGTGCCATTTTTTTCTTTTTTCTTTTAAAGAGTAACTAACAACAACAAAAAAAGTTGTGTTTAAAGAGTAACTAACAGAATTTTAGTTCTCTAAGTAGCATAAATTTATATAAAAAGTCAGGATGATTATATTTATGTTCAAGGTGATGTGATTTATTTCTTCTAGGGTCACAAGATGCTGCCCATGATTTGGATGTACTGAAAAAGCACAAGGTAAAAAAAAACTTCAAGTCTGGTACCACATATAGAAAGTATTTTAATTGCTATATTCATTTAGGAAACACTGTGTCTGGTATTTTATCCTGGAAGAATTAAAATATCATAGCACAGTGATATATGTGCACCTATGTTTATAGCGGCATAATTTATAATAGCTAGAACTTGGAAACAACTTAAATGCTCATCCACTGAGGAATGGATAAAAAGAATGTATTTTTATACAATGAACTACTACTCAGCCATAAAGAAGGATAAACTTGAGACTTTTATAGATAAATGGATGCCACTTGAGACCATACTCATAAGTGAAATAAATCAGATGTGCGTGTATAAACATTGTATTGCTTCCCTAGTGTGAGAAACTGAAAGAAACTATATATGTGCATACATATGTATGATAGTTAAGATAGTTATACTACTGATCTCTCTTGAGTTCATTGATGGGAAAGGTTTGTACAAGTATTGTTTGCACAATTAAATGCAGATATCTTGTACTCTAATTTGAAGATAACAACATGCAATGCATATACCATTGCTACCCTGTAGTTACTGTTTTGAAATTTTGTGTCATTTTTTTCTCTTTAAGATAAAGTAGATTTGAAAGGGAAAAAACCATGATGCTTTTAGATAAGAATTTTCTCTCTAAAAGAATCAAAACAAGGGAGGAGAGAAGTTTCAGGGGAGTGCTAGGAATGGAGCTGAGTCCCTCAGAGGCTGGGACATTTCACTTAGACCTTGTAACCATGGGCCAGGGCTTAGATGGAGAAAGAACAGTTTATGCAGACAGAACAGCTATGTCCAGGCTCTGCGGGCAGCGGGTCCTGTCCTCCCTTTTGGTCCTGTAAGGCTTCCTTTTCCTAGCTCTTGATACTTTCTGCCTTCCATTGTTAAAACCAATGAATAGGCTTCGCCTTCTGTTATTTAACAGATGCCAGGATAAGGCCATTGTTCTATTCATCTTTGTTACCTACAGCTCTGAGGGAAAGGTTTGATTTGAATTGAGGATAAAAATAATTAGTTGATCAATGCTTGCAGTTATGTCTCCAAGGAAAATGCTATTAATTCATTCACTAGTCTGGTACTTTTTACTCTGCGCCTTACTGAATTGTGTTTAAACTGGATCCTCCTTGGTTTGTTTTACTTATTAACACTAACAATGAGAAATAATAGCTTCAGTTATACCAGATTATAAGAATTTCTGTGTATCCTATCAGGAATACATATATCAATATTTCTAAAAAAGCAGAACTAATGTCCATGGCTTGCTTTCATTAACAAATTAGTATTCCTTAGGGTGAAGTGACAAGTACAATGGGATAAACTTTTGCATTGGCAAGTGCTTTCATCATCTCTGCCTCTTACGATATTTCAAATTCAGCTTCATCCTGGTGATGTGGAATTAGATGCGATTTAAAAGATTGTGCTGCCTCTGTATACAGAGACTCTTAATAATGTCTGGAGGGAGTGAAGAGAGAATTTCTAGAACAATTCATGGGTGTCTTAAACAAAATTGTTGATTTAAATGTATGGCACAATTCAAAGTGCTGTGTTAGGATTTAAGTAAAGTGCTATAAATAGTGCTGTTGTGGAGTACTACCTCAGAAATTCCTGTTATAAAAAATTCTCATTTGTGCATGTTTGCAGAACATTCACATAATTACATTGATCATGGGGAGCTGGTACATGTGCATTACATATCTTAATTCTTTTCTCTCCCTTCCTTTTCCCCTTCCTATATCCCCTCGGAAATTTCTATTGGAATTTAATTTTAGTGTTTAGAAATAAAAATAATGGTTGCATTATTAATAAGGTTCTCCTTGAATATTTGGTATCTGCCTAGAAAGGAACTTGGAAGAGTGTAACATATACTAAGTTCCCAATTTGCAGCATTGCTTGGAATGGCAAATTATGGAAAACAACCTTCCTGTCCATTAGTAGGAAACTGGTTAAATAGACAACAGTCGACCCATCCTTAGTATACTACTAGCTATAAAAGGTTCTCTATAGCCTGAGTAGATCTTCAGGACATATTTAAATAGACCCACTGTCCTTTGTGTAAGAAGGCCAATATGTAAGGTAGGCACACACCTGTAATCTCAGCATTGTGGGAGGCTGAGCAGGAGCATTGCTAGTTTAAGCCTCCCTGGGTAATTCAGCAGTGGAGCAAGACTCTCTGTCACAACAGAAAAAACAAAGGGCTGAGGGTGTACAAACTGTGATTGAAAAACACAATGCATGTTTGAATTTTAAAAGGTTTTTTACAATAAGACACTCAATTCCGCTCAAAAATATTCCTGCCAGCTTTGAAAATATTTATCCCATTGTTCTTGACACTTTTTGAAACAGTTCTGAAAGTCCTTTTTTGTGAGTGTCTTTGGTTGCACTGTTGTGGTTGCCTTGATGTACTTAACTGGTTCCAAACTGGTTCCGAACCTTTCATGGTCATTTTGACTTTGGGGAAGAGCCAGAAGTTGCATGGTGCCAGAGCCAGTGAATACAAGCTTGCCTTTTCATTGGACAGTGCTTAGCAGCAGCATTGACTATATTTTTTTAATTAGACATTGTAAAGATACTCACAAAAGATGACCTCGGGGGTTGGGGATTTAGCTCGGTGGCATAAGCACCTGCCTTGCAAGCAGGCGGTCATGAGTTTGATCCCCGGTACTGATAAAAATGAAAAACACACACACACACACACACACACACACACAAAAAAAACACACACACACACACAAAAAAAATGACCTCCACAACTTTATCAAAAATAAGGTAATAAGTATGTTTGAAGAAAGGGGGGAGTATTCTGAAGGGATTCCTAACAATATGTCTTTTACTGTAATAAATTTGTAAATTAAAATATTTTTTGCAGTTTTTGATCACTCCTTGTAGGTTGGCACAGAGGCCCTGGGCTTGATCCCCTGCCACAAGAAAGTTAATAATTATTTACATAAATAAAAACCAAAGGAATACACAAGCAACCAGTGAAGGCGGTTACCATTAGGATAGGGAGAGTAGAGACAGGGTGAGAACAAGACTTCCCAATGTTTCTTCTTTTGTAACAGTTTGAATTTTGAACCAGTTAGAAATAAGATTTTATTAAAATGGATATAATGATGCCTACATTTGGAGATTAAATGAGGTAACCTATATGGCTGGTATATAATAAATATCCAGTAAAGTGACTTAGGCTTTTTGTCTTTGATAAGAAGTGCATTCCAACCTAAGAACAACAAGTATTGTTAGGAGGCCTGCAATGAAGCTTTAGAAGTGTGTTTTACTACTAGAAAAGTTTTCATTTGTGCCCTTCATTGCCACTACTGTTTCCTAAAGCAAGCCAAGCCAAAGGAAACCAAAAGGAAGACTTTGTACAGAGGAGATAAGAAGGCAGCCCTTAATCTTTACACCCTCCAACTGTTGTGGGGGTAATTCCTCAAAGGCAACAGTGCTGAATTTAGGAAGAATTTAGTGTATATGGAATTCAGAAGTGGGAGGTACAAAGCAAGTGACAAACTGTTACATAATTGGCTACATACATTGCATCCTATGTTGACAGGCAGGCTAGTCTTCAAACAGAGGGATTGTTTATCATAATATAGAAACACTTTGGGAACAAGGGGAGGGGACCTTACAGATGGAGCATAGTTAAGGGCATTACCATAATATAGGAACATTCTAAACTGCCTCCTAACAGTGAAATCACTGAGGCATTGGATAGTTTAAAAAAATCTATGGTATTTGTAGCATACTCTGACCTTTCCAGGTGTTTCCCCAAAATTCTCTTCTCCCCAACCCTATATCTTTCCTGTAAATTATATAGGGTAATGATACGTTCTTTAAATAGTATGGCCTCAGCTGGGCGTGGTGGCTCACAACTGTAATCTCAGCACTTGGGAGGCTGAGGCAGTAGGATCATTGCGAGTTTGAGAGCAACCTAGGCTACAAAGAGAGCTCAAGGCCAGCCTGAACTGCATAGAGACCCGGTCTCAAAAAGACAAAAAAAAAAAAAAAAGTATGGCCTCATTTTAATACATTCTTTAAATAGTACGAATAGGTATGGTTGTGAAGGCAAAGCAAACACACAAGTATTACAGAAGATAGGAAGGTCATGTAAAGAAGATCTATAAGGAAGGGCAGAATCACATCACCCTAGCCGAATACACAGGAGATGAGAGAGCAGTAATGTAGTTAAACTTCCCTGGAGAAAGCAAAAAGGTATTTCAGATTTTATCTTCTAAAAACTCTCCCTTTCCTTCCTTCCTAATTTCTCCAAACCCTTCTTTTTGAAGAGTCTTTCTCAAGTAGACCTTTGAAGTGGTTTCTGCTGTGGTCTTTCTTCCGCAGGCCCTTAGAGTAACAAGTGGCTGATGGCTGTCAGTTTGCAAGCGGTCCCACTGAGTGCCTTAGTCACCAATGTTTTGTTTATGAGGCATAGTAACCAGTCTGAGCAAACTGAGCAAGGGCAGAGAAGCTGTGTAACTCTTCAGGGAGCTCCCTGGGCCCCAGGGCAGGGAGTGACCACACCCCCTGTCTCTGCTAAACTCACTGCTAACTCAAGGGTTGTTTATAAAGGAAAATTCAGCAAGTCCCTACCCTGATGGGTTTCCAGTGTACAAACTCAAAGATGGAGGCACAAATAGAAAGTCCAGATGGAGCACCTCTGAAGGATGAGGCAGAGAAATCTCCCAGGAGAAGTATCATTCAAGTGAATCACGTTGAAAGTTTTCATTATTTGTGTCATTGATATACCATTGCAGCCTCTTTTTAGGTAGCCTAATTCATGAGACTTTTAAAAAGTCATCTTTTGTTTTTCTTTCTCTTTAAGGTGACTCATATTCTCAATGTTGCATATGGAGTTGAAAATGCTTTCCCCAACGAGTTCACGTATAAGAGTATCTCTATACTGGATCTGCCTGAAACCAGTATCCTGTCTTATTTTCCAGAATGTTTTGAATTTATTGAACAAGCAAAAATGAAGGTAAGTTTATTCTGCTCTACAGTTCTTCAAAAACAGAAATTTGAAAGTATGGATCCTCCCCTAAATCTTTGTTCTTTTTTCAACGTTATGAAAGACAATTTCTTTCCAACAATATTAATTCTTACAGTTCTCTTACTTTAAATCACTCCTTTTTCAAAGAGATATTTACTTTCCATCTTAATTCAATTTTGATCATCTCATGGATTATTGAGAAATGTTAGGAGATAAAATTCTGAATTTTTCTGTGTAAAAATATAGTTAGATTTCCTTTAAGGTTTTATAATGATTTGGTGCCTGAGTAATATGCACAGTAACCTGGTGGACTACACAATAGACACTGCTCTGGTTTTGTTAGTGTATTTACAATGATTAATATACATTCACTATATTGGCTGAGGTGGGGATTATGTACCTGTGTATTTTTAACATAATTTTAAGGCATTCTAAGAGCTAGATGTGAGTTGCTGTGAGCTGGGCTAGGTAGGAGGACTGAACTCACTGCAATATGGAGAGAGACAGAGACAGAGAGGCAGAAAGAGTAATTGCATATCCCAGATAGAGTAAGTCTTTCATGGATAGGGGTAGGAACTTTGATATTTAGTCTTCATGCCCTGAGACATCATAGATTCTTCCTTGAGCCTCAGTCTCAGCTGGCAGTATCACTGGTCACTCGGCCTGGTTCACATATATTACTTGGGAGTTATATGTGGGGCACCACTGACCAGTCACATCACTTTAAAGGCTCCACATCATTGCCCCCAGACCTATTTGTGTTGCTTAAAGTTGACTGCTGGGATAAGCATCTTGACCAGCTCTGCACTTATCAATACATGGAAATAGGGCCAGGTTTAGCCAAAATAGAGACAAATTCTTTCTTTCAAAGAGAGCTGTCCTGGCGGTCCTCCACAGTTTCTCCCTGATCACAGTTTGCCATCTTGGAGGCAACTCACCCCTCAATTCCAGGTGATAGCATTCCACTCCTTTAGCAGCGGCAACGTAGTGTGCTCTCCAGAGGAAGCATCAGGCCTTAGGCCAGCAGGCTGGATGGACCTAAGAGAAGAAGGAGGCGGCCATGGAGCTGGCAGACGGGGTGGAGCCTGCCGGGCGCCCATCAGATGGCAGTGGCAGAACGTGTAAAGGGTTGTGTAGGATGCAAGATGTGTTGGAATTCTGCAGTGTGTTCTGATTTCTCCCCCTCTGAGTTTCACACTGACATTCTAAATCAGTCATTTTTTCCTTGGCCTGAAAAGTTTTTACTCCTTAGACTATTATATATTTAATTTTAGCAAAAGCATCCTTGAATTTTTAGTTCTTCTTTTTCGGGAAGAAATCTCATCATATCTTTGCCTATTATAGTTGCATGCATTATTACATTTACGTAGTGAATTACAGATGTCAAAACCAGTTTTCTAGGCCCAGGTTTCTTCTTTTTACATGCAGTTGCCATATGAAATGTCTTCCATTTTCTCACGTGTTTCTTTATTTCCTCCGTACTTATTCAGTCTCTCTGTCCTCTCACTGTCTCCACGTCATGCGTAATTTGTAGAGTATGCTTTAAGGGTCAGAAATGTAAGAGGGAGAAGCCATGATTATAATCTTTACAGAGAATTTTTAGGAACTAAATCTATCTGGTCCCTCTTTTTATGTGCAAAAGATTTTACTTTCTAAAATCCAACCATATTTAACATTGCACGTGTATTTTTGATTTATGTGATTTTATTTGAAATTATTGTATAAAGAATCCATCTTTATAGAAAAAATGGAGGGGCTGGGGATTTAGCTCAGCGGCATAAGCACCTGCCTTGCAAGCAGGCAGTCATGAGTTCGATCCTCAGTACTGATAAAAAGACAAAAAAAGAAAAAACGGAAAAATTTATGTGATTTTATTTGAAATTATTGTATAAAAAATCCGTCTTTATAAAAAATGGAAAATAGAAATAAAAATTAAGATTGCCTTATTCCACAGAGTAGGGGAGGGTGCCTATAGTCTAGCACTCTGGGAAACTGAGGCAAGAGGATTGCAAGTTTGAGCTCAGCCCAAGCAATTTAGTGATTTAAGGAGACCCTGTCTCAAAATGACAAACATAAGGCCATGTTGTCATCTGAGATATGGCTCAGAGGCTCAGTGCCTGCCTGGCAATCACAGGGTTTTGAGTATGATTGCTGGTACAAAAAACAAAACAAAAACAAAAACAAAATGCTCTGCAAAAAAAATAATAAAAAAACTGGGGTTTAATTCTATATAAAGACCCTAGATTCAATCCACAGTGTAGGAAAAAAATTGCAGAAAAAATTGTAGAAATACTGTGATCTTTCAAAATAAGACTTTTGCCATTTGTTAATTTATTTATATTATATGTAATATCTTATATAAGTATTCAATAAAAATAGCACTATATGATTCCTACTCTTTTGGTCTATTCTTTATACTGAAAATATCAAACTGTTTTGATTTCTGCATAGTATTTTAGTAATCGGTGGTTCTATGATTTATTTACTGCTGATTACTTTTCTCTCATTGCTGGGACAAAATACCCAACACCCAAATTAAAGAAGGAAAGGTTTATTTAGCTTACAGTTATTGGAAGTTTCAGTCCATAATCAGTTGGCTGCAAGGCAGGGTGACATGGCACTGGGGCAACACTTCAAGGCAGCAGCCAGAGCAAATAGGGGAACAGGCCTCTCCTTCTCCCTTATATTTTACACAGGCCACCTGTCCCCTGCAGAGTAGGTGTAGCACTCACAAAATCTCCTTGTCCTCCTTTTGCACAGGATGAGGATATTTACAAAGTAAGGATCCTGACTCCCTGCTAAGTCTCTTGGTTAAACTTCTAAACTGCTCAAGTGTATCAGGCATAACATTTAACTACTTTTCCTCCACGAGACATAGAAGCTGTATTCAGTTTTTTGTTCAGTGTAGGTCAGGCTTCATAACAGAAACATTTTAAGTCTAAATAGATACTTAAATTCATCAGGTTTTGATTTTGCTATGCATATTACCCGCTTTCTAATGTAGTGCTTGAGATTGGGCCATTTATAAAGAAAAAAGGTTTATTCAGCTCACGGTTTTCAGTGGAGAGTCCAAACAGCCTGATACTATGTGGAGGACCTCAGTGGTGACACTGGGATGGTGGAGGGAGAGATCACATCATTGAACAGAAGCTGGAACCCTAGCGAGGGCCTTTGTACAATCTGCTCTCTTCATTAGTCCCTTCCAAAGGCACATCCCTGGCCACCTAACACCTCCCCAGGACTCTCTTATTTTATAAGTCAAAGAACCTCCCAGAATTGAGGACAAGGTTCTAACACACCAATCTCTAGGGGACACATTCAAGTCATATTCCAACCACAGGACCATGTTTACATTGCTCTGTGCTCCTACAGATAGTGTGGGATGGCACTCCTGAGTGCCATCAGAATGACCCAGGCTACTAAAAGTGTAATTCACTTTGTTACCAAACTTCAGCAAGGAAAGAAGATTGCATCTAAACTTTACTCCATTCACGGAGAGATTGTAACTACCAAACTTGAAGAAGCTGGCCAGGAGGAAGACAGCAAAGAGAAAAAGAAGAAAGCTGACTTAACGCTATATTTTGAAATAGTTGATTTTCATTCTACTATGAAATTGTTTTCTGCTGTTATCAGAAGCACTTGCAAAGCACATTATTCCCAAGTTTTATTGGAACTTACGTGTAAGGAAAGCACCTGCACTTGGATCAGTCTGTCAAATATTTATTCAAAGGGGATGTGAAGACTTCTCACTGGTGCCCTCAATAAGCTCGAAAAGCTCTTTGTAACATGAGAACAAAGAAAACTGCAAAATGGAAATGCCATAGCATAATAGAGTCCCTCTGTCCATAGCAAAATGGGGATTTTAATTTGTGAGGAACAAAAGTTATTCGCTTAGAATAAATTTATTCAGTTAGCAGATATTTATGGGATATCTACTGTGTGCCAAGAATTGCACTGTGCACCAGGTGTACAGAAGTGGGCAGGGCGCTGTGCCTGCCCTGGGCTGGCTTGGAGAAAGTCCACTCAGGAGAGGAACCAGAGCGAGCTGTACCAAGAGAGCAGAGGCCTCCCAGGCGGAGGATAAGCCCAAGTGCAAAGGCGCACTTGCTCTATCCGTTGTCATTATTTGGAGTTCTGGAAAAAATGACTATGGAGTCAGTACTTTTTCTGGAAATACTTTCAAGAATGTTGTGATACCTAAGGAATGATAGAAAGTAGCAAGTAGATAAATCAAAAGCTGTAGACAAGCAGTTGTATAAAGTAGTAAGAGAAGTAATTAATACTAACATTTTCAAACTGTAGCTAAAATTGAATGCCCAGTATGGAAGACTAGAAAAAATAGCCTAGACATATTTAAAATAACCTTGGAATGTGTCTTTTACTTATTTTTTCTGACTTTTTTTTAAAACTTTTTATCGGTACCAGGGATCAAACTCATGACCGCGTGCTTGCAAGGCAGGTCCTTATGCCGCTGAGCTAAATCCCCAGCCCCTATCTTTTACTTATTAAGCTCACAATTGCAAGCTTTTTTTAGGACACCTGGTTACTTTGTTTTGAGCTAACTGATGTTCAGTGATAATTTTCAAATTACTGTTACAGTTTTTAAACATCTTAAGTCATAAAACTGAGCTCTTGATACAAAGTGAGACACATTCTAGTACATATAATGACTATTTTATTTTGCTTTCTTTGTGCAGAAACAGTTACTGTTTGAAAATGAATCACACATAGTCCATAAGAATTGAACTTGTCTTTTTTGGCATAAGGACTTTCAATATATTAACTAATTTTATTGTTAATCATTGTTGAAAATTTGACATAAGCATCTCTCTCTGTCTCTGTCTCTCTCTCTGTGTCTCTCTGTCTCTTTTCTCTCTTTTGAGTACCAGAAATTGAACTTGAGACCTTGTGCTTGCCAGGCAGGCACACCCTGGTGGTTTGTCTACCACTGAACTAAATGCCCAGCCTTATTAATCATTCTTGAGAAAAGATGCATTTTGCAAATGTGTTACAACAGATCAAGGAATTTTGCAACAGATACATGAATGTGAGAAAACTGCCTTACAGAAGTAAAACCACATTACTATAATAGTATGAATAGTAATAGTGTCAATGTGTCCTTTGGTTAGAGGATGTTAAGTAATCTTTTTTCCTTCCCTGTTCCCAGCTTTTCTTCTTTCACCAAAGAAAGAATCAGGATACGAAGCAACTAAAATGTCTAATTCTGTGGGGTGTGCCCAGAGTTACTACATTTCATTTAGATCATTAACTTTTAAAGTCTGAGATAGGCCAAGTTGTATCAGTGCTCTTCCACCAGATCTGTCCCATTCATTTTTAATGCAATATTACCCCCACCAGTATTGACTTTGTACTGTGTCTCTCTCTTTTCACCTGGAAAGTATCATTTGCAAGTTACCTGAAACGTTTTTATTTATTGACCTCATGTGGTGGTATCTGATTACTTTTTCCACTTCACACTGTAATAAGCTATTTGTGTCATCATTTTATTTTCCCTTAAGTTGAAATACTTTAAGGCACTTCCTTCTTTCAAGAATAAAATAGAAACAGTAGAGAATAGTTGTATTCCTTACCAATCATTTTGCATACAGATATCCAAGGCAGTGACATTATTTTTTTCTTTTTTGTTTTTTAAATGGGACTATTGTGTGTATCTGGAATGTCCTGGGATTTTTGTTTAGTTTCTGTTTGGTTTCTACGTGTTTCCATGTATAGTCTCTATGATTTTTCTGTTATTTTTATACATGTGGTTATTAAATTACTAGGATTTTGTGAGTAGTTTACTAGTTTTGTTTAATGAATGATAGTGTTTCAGATTTCCAAACACATCATCATAGCATTTCAGTCCTGGGCATTGGGTGGGAGAGTAGATATTTGTTAATTGATTAACTGATTGATTTTTCCATTCATCGCTTGCAATGAATTACATTTTGATAAATGAAATCACGTAAGTTGACCAAACAGAATGTTTGCTTCATAGTTTTATGTAATATGAGAGTGTGTGATCAATTTAATACCCTTTCAATGAATAATGCAGGTTTTTGTTTGGTTTCATTGCAGGATGGTGTGGTTCTTGTTCATTGTAATGCAGGAGTTTCCAGGGCTGCTGCAATTGTGATAGGCTTCCTCATGAATTCTGAAGAAATCTCATTTAACAGTGCTTTTACTGTGGTGAAAAATGCAAGGCCTTCGATTTGCCCAAATTCTGGCTTCATGGAACAGCTTCGTACATATCAAGAGGTCAAAGAAAGCAATAAGTGTGACATACGACCAGAGTTGGAAAAGCACACCAACTCCCAAGTTGCAGATCATGGACAGATGTAATTTGAATGGGTCTCTGTCTTTCTTGTTTTGGAAAGTAGACTAGTAAAACTTCCTTTTGTTTTTACCAGTGAAAATGAAGGTCAATTTGATTGTTCTGCACTAGTATGTAAAATAAATCTTTACAGCATATGACCTCTTCGTTGTTGTTATAATATTGATTGTTGTTATAATATTTGAGTTGTTCAGGAAAAATAACAGTGAGTTGCTAATTTTTGATTTCTGTAGAGAAAAAAGATTCACATTTAAAATCTATGGAAAGACTAAATTAGTTAACTATCTTTTAAGTATTTTTCTTTCAATACTTTTCTCTTCCAGCCCATTTTCACACAGAAAAAAACTTTTAAGTGCTACTTGATGTACTGTTTCACAAAGAGGTAAATATCTTTGTAAGGAATATATTTAAAACTCCCAAACAAGCACCAGATATTCACAAAATTTTTAATCATCTTATGAAAACATGCCTATTTATATTTAAAATTTTAATTCTATTGCCTGTGTTTCTGTTTTTATTTTTAAAATATTTGTATACATGTTCTTTCTTATATTATGATAAGCTTATTGTCTTTAAAAGGTGATATTTTTCTTCTCTTACATGTTGTAGATTTTATCTTGGATGCCTGGCATTCTGTCATAATTTTTTGGTCTCTTTGGATCTGTGGGAAAATGTTTTATACTGAAAGCTCATTTTTTAGTTGTAGTTTGTTCAGTGATCTGATTTATAGTTCAGTATCTCACTAGACAACAATTTTAAGGAAAGAAAATTTACGGTTTTGAAATAAATTTTGAATACATTGTTGGAATAATTTCTTTTTCTTTAATGTTTCCATATTAGCATGATTGAACTCTGTACACTGTAAATTTACTTCAATACTTTAAATTTTTTTCTTCAGTATAAATTACCCTATGTTTTAGTAATTAAGACAATTTAGTTTTCAAAAAAATCTTTGATGACTTACAAGATATGATTACCACGTAGATGTTAGTTTTTAAAAGTCTCGACTCTTCTTAAATACTGAGTACTCAGGTTGGAAAGTATGCATATCTGTGCCTTTGGGAAAACAGCCTTTCTTAGACTGTCATGTGCAAAAGCTAGAAGTGATAAATACGCATCATGTCTGCAGATTGCTTATGACCCTGACATGATGCCATTGCCTGTAATGCTGTTAACTTTTCAGTTCCACGAAGCAGCATCCCAGAAGTAATTAACCTACAGCAAGCTCTTAGAAGCCAACCAAGTCAGGCAGAGCCGCTTAAAAAGAGACTGATTCATGATGTCTCCATCAGTATTCCTGAGGGTCGCTGGATGAGCCGTCTCCATGAAAGCATTTATTTGAGTATATTTTCTTTTGCTGAATGTTATTTAATTTTCAACCAAATGTTGTCACATGAAGCTTTGATATAATTTGTTCACCATCTGTAGTGTATGCTTAGTTGTTGCATGTAGTGATCTGGTTGCTGTTTGAAGATGCTTATTAAGTACCATTTACAAAAGTGCTTTGAGCATTAACTTTGTGAATCTTAAATGATAGCTTGCTGCATCTAAAACACAACAGGGGTACAGAGCAATCTTTTAAATCTGGGGTGTGTTGTGAGAGAATGGTGTGTACTTTGTTGTGCTTCCCATGGAGAGATGAGTGAGTCGCTCTGTTCTACCTCATTATTTTTAAGAAGAAACTTCATCATTTTGATCTCTAGCTTACTTATTGTAAAGTTAACAAAATCATGTGTACCAAATAATGGGTCTATTTTGAGGAGGGTGGAAAAAGAATTTCACAGAATTTTTTACTCTTTTTTTAAAAATAGATGTTCCTACCTTTTTAAAAGGAAAAGTAAAAATCAAAGTATTACTGCTTTTTAAACACTGAAAAGAAATGAAGAGCCTTTCTCCTAGGAACTTGCAAAAGAAAGTAGAGCAAAGACATTGGAACATATAAAATTCTATTTATTTGAGTTAAAACCTTAAAATGTTTTGCTAGTTAGTAGTTAATGGCAATTGAACACCCAGGAAATACTTAGACTTTTTTTGAAAAGTCAAAAAACTATTTTTTAAAGATTGTTTTTGGAGAAAATTTACACCAATACTATCTCAAAGACAAAGATTTCAAGGAAGTGGAGAATACTCTTTAACATTTATTGCAGTTTAACTTTTTTTTTCCCTTATTCTGTTTCCTTGATTGAAATATATGAATACAGCACGTGTGTGTGTGTGTACACTTTTAAGGAACTTACTTTGATTCTGATTGATATTTGTAGAGGTGATGGAAAACCTGAATTTGTCAGTTATTAGCAACTTTTCAGCTGTCAGTAGAAGTCATCCCTGAAAAGTCTTTTTTTTTTTTTTTTTTTGGAGATATTCTTAAATGTCCCAAATACAAATCCAAATATTATAGCATTAACCAATTATGAAACTTATAAGGGAAACAACAATGCACTTAAAAATAACAAATCTAATGTGAGACGCATTTCAAGGTGACTCAAGTCGGTTTTCCTGTTTGAGGGATTCTGAACATAATTAATCACCTCATAGTTATTTAACATTATAAACCAGAAGATTTTGTAGATTTGTAATTTTGTGATATGTATATTTACATTTACAGTCACCAGATTTCTGGCTTATTTACATTGGTGTACTTTTAAAAAATTAGTTACAGTTATAATTAAACTTTTCTATTTCATGTAAAACTTATTTTTACTTATTTTGCATACATACTTACATTCTTTATTCTGGGTGCTAAAATACTTTAATAAAATAATAATGTAACAATTCCTACTGTTACTGTCTATTTCTTTAAGTAGCTGTGTAAGATAAAGATGGAAAATGTCTTGGATTTAGAAACATGAAGATCATAATTGAGCTTAGAAAGATATGTCTAGATTAATGGAAAAATAACCAAATTAGTTTATTAAATGATATGTAATATGATGAATGAAAGATAAGACAGGCTAAATTCAATTTTATGAATATATTATATAATGTATATTCTAGCATGAATAAATAAGTGTATTGTACTGAGGTTGATACTATTCTTCTCAAAATTCAGATGAGAAAATAAGTCTGAGTTGTTAATATCACATACCATTAGGTATTTATTTATTTGTTCATTTTGGACCAGGTCTTTCTCTGTAATTCAGGCTGGCTTTGAACCCTGAACTCACTGTGGCCTACGGCCATACCATCCTGAACATGCCCGATCTTACCTGAACAAACTGTGTAGCCCAGGCTGACCTTGAACTTGTGGCAATTCTCCTGCCTCAGCCTCCTGAGTGCCACCACACCTGGCTACTACTAGGTATTTAAAGTCAAAATTTTTACTGTCTTCAACAAAATACTAATTCTCAGGCAACAAAGACAAGACGGTGGGTATCAATACCTGACTTGAAGTTATACTATAAAGATACTGTGATAAAAAGTGTGGTACTAGCAAAAAAAAAAAAAAAACCTAAACAAACAAACAAACAAACAAAAACCCCAGACCTGAAGATCAATGGAATAGATTAGAAAATACAGAAATAACTGCAGACACACCAAGCTACCTTATCTTTGACAAAGGTGCCAAACATTGGGAGAGAGATGGTCTCTTTGAGAAATGGTGTTGGAAAAACTGGCTTTCCACATGCTGAAGATTAAAACTGGACCCATATCTTTTACCTTGTACTAAGCTAACATCAGAATGGGTTAATGATCTTAATATTAAAACAGAAACATTAAATCTGCTGGGAGATAGACTGGGTAAAACTCTTGAAGACATTGGTGTAGGCAAAACCTTTATGAAGAAAACTCAGAGTGCATAGGACTTATTGCAAAGAGTCAACAAATGGGATCTCATCCTATTGAAAGCAAGAGAAAATCACTCAGTATGTGGGAGAAAACATTTGACTGCTGTTCCTCAGACAAAGGATTATCAAGAATGTATAAAGAACTAAAAAAAAAAACCCAACCAACCAAACAAAAAAAAACAGTCCTCCCAGATTTAGAGTCCAGTCCAAAAATGGGTATCTGAGATGAGCACACACTTTTCAGATGAAGAAGTACAAACAGCAAATAAATATGTGAAAAAATGTTCAAGAACACTGGTCATTCAAGATATGCAAATTAAAACAACATTGAGATTTCACCTTATCCCAGAAAGAATGGCTATTATTAAGAAACCAACCAATAACAAATGCTGGAGAGACTGTGTATGTGGGGGGAAGGACCTTCTCCATGGCTGGTGGAATGCAGACTGGTGTAACCATCCTGGAAATTGGTGTGGAGATTCCTCAGAAAACAGGATTGGAGGTCCCATTTGATTCAACTATTCTCCTCTGGGTATCTTCCCAAAGAATTAAAAACATCGTAACAGCCATATATGTGCACCTATGTTTATAGCACCACAGCTTATAATAGCCAGGTCTTGGAAACAACCTAAATGCCCAGCGACTGAGGAATAAATAAAAAAGATGTGGTATTTCTGTATAATGGAATACTATCTAGCCATAAAGAATGATGAACTGGACTTTTTTTGTGTGGAACCAGGGGTTGAACTCACATGACCTTGTACTTGCCAAGCAGGCGCTTATGCTGCTGAGCTAAATCTCCAGCCCCTAAACTGGACATTTTTATAGGTAAATGGATGTGCCTTGAAAATATACTTATTAGTGAAATAAATATGTCATGCATGCATAATCAGCATATTTCATTAGTATGGTAAGGAAAAAACATGTATTTTGACCAGGAGGGAAGGACTTCAGTCAAGCAATGACTTAGGCCACACCTGACTTCCCATTTTATCCTACTGTGAGCCATTCTGAGTTGACTTTTGAATGTTTTAAGAAATTTTTGAAGCGCTGTAAGGTTTAGGGTTTTTGCATGTAGTTATCCAGTTGTTCCAGTATATTTATTGAGGATACAATCCTTTCTCCACTTAATTGCTTTTGCATCTTTGCCAGAAATCAAATGTCTGTAATGTGGGTATCTATTTTGGGACTTTGTATTGGTGTTTTAGTGGTTTGTGTATCTTTGTATCAATGCTGTTTTGTCACGATTGGTGTAACTGTGTGATGTCATGGGACTGGGGAGGGTTGGCGCTCTACTTTTGCTCCTTTAGCAAAGTTTTTAAGACTATTCTGAGTTTTTTTTTATTTTTACAGAAATGTAACAATCAAAATGTTAATCTATATGAAAAATGATGTTGGCAGTTTGATAAGGGATTGTGTTTTCTGATCTTTATTATTTTCTCCTATCGGTTTCTGGTTTCATTCTGTCTTATATTTTTAATTAAAAAACTCCAAAATACTAGTTCTCTAAACAAAGACAATTATCAAGCAATGAATGGTTTTTTCATTAATTATTTTGTCATAAGTAAACACAACATATATGACTTTTGAGTGTCCTAGGATTTAAGCTTGTTGATTTTTTGGGAAAAGATTTATTTAGGGAAAATGTCAAATATACACAGAGTTATAGAGAATATCATAATTAATTGCCACCAACATTTAACCACTGGAGGGTGGATTAGGGAGGGAAAGCAATGTATGCCACATCCTTCCACACTTTCTATCTTTCTATCTTACTAGATTATTTCAAGGCAAACTTCTGGCAACTCTTTTAAAAAATAGCCCTGTACATTTGTCTATTCTAAGCTTTCTCCAAACTTTCAAATACCTATTAAATCTATCTGATAATTGAAATGGAAGACATAATAAAATCACACTTGAAACTTTTGTAAGTTTTGAAGGTATTTTTTCACTAAATTGTTTAACTGATTAAAAGATAACAGGTGAATGAGAAAAACTAATTTTTGTGCCAGTTTTGTTACTATCAAGAAACTGTCACACACACACTCAGAAATTTCACATGTAAAAGTTTTTTTTCTTAAGACCTGGCTTCAGTGATTGCTCATAGAGGTCAGATAATTGTTTTGTATTTTTCAGGATGTGAGCTCCCCATCTTTAAACATCCTGAAGCCCTTTTGAAGACCCCCTGTCCTTGGTCCTGGACAGTCCTGGTTTGTCTGATGCTCTGTGTGACGTCACAGTGTGAGTGAGGGACCACCCTGCCCCTGAGCAGCCCACGGCTGAGATGATGGAAGCTGGACTGGTGAAACGCTCCTCGCCACTGCGCTGTGTCTGAACATGACAACCATCTGTTTCCCAAAGTCTTACTAAAGGTGGGTATCTTTTTTTCTTTTTCTTTTTGGTCTTTTTATCCTTGAGCTCACTTTGTAGCCCAGTGGATATCTTCTTCCTTCACCTCAAGTTTTAAACATTTTGTTTTTGCTTTTTTAAGACTCTGAGCTTTTTGGCATAACAAGGTGATTTTACATCTAAGGATAAATATTGCATAGAAATAGACATTTATAAACATTTGATGAATAATCAGTGTATATATGGACACACAAGCTGTGGGTATATCAAATTTATTGAAAATTCATTTTGAGATTTTTATATATTCCTGACTTTTCAACATTAGTTTGAGTCTAGAAAAAAGTTGAAAGTTAATCTTCTGGTCATACTTTCTGTGGCCCCAGGTTTGCACCTCCCTTCCAGGGATCAGGCAGAGGATACTAAAATGTAAGTCAGCAGGCAAGGATCTGAGCTGGGGAGTTTTTAGTCTTGCTGTTAAATTTTCCAACCAGAGAGTTTCTCTTATATTTCCTAGGCACCTACAAGTTATGATCACAAAATTATATAAAATAAGCTAAAAAATCTTAAATTCTTCCATTTATAGAATTTCTATTTTCTCCTGTTAATAGTTTGGTGCAGTTCTCTTCCAATGTTTCCTTTTGTTCAGACCTTTTCCTTTTTATCCCCCACCTGCCCATCTGTACCCAAATATATATTTTGTTTAAAAAAGTAATTGTTCAGATTGGGGATATAGCTTAGTGGCACAGTGGTACCCTGGCAAGCACAGGGTACTGAGTTTGATTCCCAGTACCAAGCAATTTTTTTTCTATATAAATACATACAGTCCTTCAAATTATATCTTTCATGTTGATCATATACTTCTTTCTAGGTCAACTCATGCATATACAAATATCAAATCTAATTGTTTTTAACAGGAGCATTGTGTTCTTTTGAGTAGATCATAATTTATAATGGAAAATCTTTGAGGAATCTTTCTTAATATCTTACTTCTAAACAAGCTGTGGGTGGTGGGCTGAATTATGGTCTCCACAGATATCCATACTTCAAAGTCTGGAACCTGTAGGGTGCCTTATGTGGCAGAAAACACTTCGCAGATGTGATTATTAACTTAATTGCTTCAACTGGGTATTGAAACGGGTTATTCTGAGTGACCCTAAGTATGATTTATGTTCTTCTAAAGGGAGGAGACAGTGGCCCACATCTAAAATCCCAGCGCCTGGGAGCTGAGGCAGGAGGATAAGTTCAAGCCCAGCCTGGGCACTTTAACCATTTAGATCCTGTTTCAAAAAATAAACTAGAATCATCTGTAGGAAAATGGATGCACCTTGAGACCACAGTGTAATAAGTGAAATAAATAAAAAATACCAGGTTAAATATCACATGGTTTCTCTTAGTATGAGAAACTCAAAATACAAAGAGCAAAATAAAAAATAGATATATGGAAGAGGAAGAAGAGATTTTACTAGAGAACGTCCCTTCCACGCAGTACATTATTTTTTATAAAGTTGGTGAACTGTAAAACTAAGTAACATATTTTACACGCACATATATAGAATGTTTATGCGACCAATACATCCATATTCCCTGAAGGAAAGCAGTAAAGTGGGAGAATAAGGACGACAAGGATGGCATAGGCAGGT